TCTCCTGTGCTGCCCCTTCACCCTGCTGAGCATGATGTCATTCTATAAGGACTGGTCTCACCTGGCCACGTGCCTAAAGTATGTGAGATGGAGCTTTAAAATCCTAGCCTCTAAGGAAAAACTTGATTTCACCCTCTCTAAGACAGACTTGTTTGTTCTCTTGGCAGTCCATGGTATGTTCAAGACTCTTCTCCAGCACCACAGCTCAAAGGCATCGATTGTTCTTTTGTCATCCTCAGTCACTGTCCAGCTCTCTCATGCATAGCAAGTAATTGCAAAGATTATGGCCTGTATCAGGTGCAACTTAGTCTCTAGACTGACATCTTTGCTTCTCAGTACTTGAGAGACATTTCTGACAGCAGATTTTTCCAGTGCAATTTGTCTTTTGATTTGCCAAGAGTGTTGACTTTGCAAGCTGAAATTCTTAACAACTCTTCTCTTCTCCATCTATCATGGAGCTGACAATTGGCCCAGTGGTGAGAATTTTGGTCTTCTTGATGTTGAGCTTCAATCCATATTGAAGACTACAGTCCTTGACTTTCTACATAAGAGCTTCTTCAGGTCCTCAGTTTTACCAAGCAAAGGTGGGTCATCTGCACCTGTCATTGACAAGTCTTGTCTTCCTCCAATCCTGATGTCACATTCCTCCTATAAAGCCCAGCCTCTTGAATGATCTGTTCTGCATATGGAGATAGGATGCATCCCTGACACACTCCCTTCCTGATTTTGAACCACACAGTGTTTTCTTGCTCTGAGGACTGCTTCCTGGTTCAAGTATAGGTTTTGCATGAACACAGTTAGGTGTGCTGGGATTCCTATTCTCCTCAAGGTTAGCCACAACTTGTTGTGATCCACACAGTCAAATGCTTTTGCATAGTCAATGCAACACAGATAGACATTCCTCTGGTACCTTTGCTTCCGGCCAAGATCAATCTAACATTGGCAATAATGTCTCTATCTGTGATCTTCTGGAAGCAGAAAGCCTTTCTTCCAAGGAACCCTGGGGGGTGGTCTTGAACCACCAACCTTTCAGTTAGACTAGGGCCTCCGAGTGCACACCCTCACTGCTGCTGAGTAGTTTCTGACGCATCTCTTCCTCTCTCTTTTATTGCTGTTGAGTTGGAACTGACTCAGAGCTGATTATCCAGTGGGTTTCCGAGACGTGAACAGCATGGGAAGAGATTGCTCTTCTTACTCTCTTGGAGTCTCTTGTGAATTTGAAGCACCAGAGAGGTGTGACCAGGGCTCCCTGGTGCCGACTATGCTGTCCATCGGATCTGACTCATAGCTGACCCTCCAGCCATTTTCAGAGGCACTGAATCACATGGGGGAGGGGGAGACTGTCCGTCTTTGTCCTCTGGATCAGCTGGTGGATTAGAATTGAACTTCAACCTTTATTCCACTTCTTAGACTAAATCATAAAGGAAGGAGAATGTCCTTCTTTCTCCCTTGGAGAGTTTGTGGATTCTGACTACTGGAGCTGCAGTCTTTTTTGGTTAGCACCACAGCACCCTACAGAATATGCCACAATCCTCATTGCAGTTGAGTTGTAACAGACTCATAGCTGGCCCTCATTGGCTTCCCAATGCTATGAATCGCATGGGAGGAGATTGCCCGTCTTTCTCCCTCAGAGCCACAGTGAATGAAAACTGCCAGGAAGATGAGGTCTTGGAGTTATCAGTACAACTCCCGAGGGATTACATCACCAGTGCTTCCTGTTTAATAACAGTGGCCAGTGAGTATTGACTGAATGAATAAATGAATGATGAAGGCTGATGAGATGACAGGTATATAGCATTTAGTAGAGAGAAAAGCAATAGCAAGTGAGCCATGATAATTTGTCATTTCTATGATTGATTCAGTGATTGGGGTAATGGGAGTAGGTGTGTCAGAGACAGGTTGGCACAGGATAGAGCTCTTGTGCATAGGGTCTCTATGAGTCGCAAACGACTCAAAAGCACATAACAACAACAACGTGACTATCTTTAGAGGCAAAAATGATGAGGTATCGTCTCACATACTTTAGGCAAGTTGCTAGGTGGTGCTATTCCTTGGAGAAGAAAATGATGCTGGGAAGGGTGGAGGCTCGGTGAGGGAGAAGAAGATGCTCAACCAGGTGGACTGACACAGTGACTGCTGCAATGGGCTTTTGTGTGTCAGGAAGTGTGAGGATGGCGCAGGATAGGACAGGGTTTACATCTTTTGTTCATTGGTCGTTTTGAGTTGTACTTGACTCAACGGCACCTAACAACAACAACAACCAATAACAAACATGATTATCTTTGAGCATGCAGGTTTGATACAGATGGATTTAAGTTTGGACATCTTTTCTGTAATTTACTGAGTTAAAGGGAACTCTGGGGACGAAGTCTGTGGCGAGCTGCACCGCTAACCCACAGGCTGTAAATGTCTGGCACTCTCCTTCCAAAACCTCACAGCCATCGAAAAACCCACTCAATCCACCAGCAGCTCCCGGAAGAAGATGGCAGTTCCCTCCCTTTGTGATTTATAGCTCCAGACACCCAACAGGAGGCTGCTGTGGGTTGGAACCAACTTGAGAGGAGTGAGTGACTGAAGAAGGAAAAAGTCCACTAGCAAGACCTTGCCTAAGCTATTTCAGCTCTCTGAGCCTCAGTTTCCTCCTCTGTTAAAGGGGGGTGACAATTAGCAGTGGCCTGGCAGGGTGGGGAGGACTTAGTCAGCCCAAGCACAGAGTAGTCCTTGTAAAGCACACTCCTAAATGCTCCCTCAAGGAATCACCCTGTGAGAGGCCTTGGTTTCCTTCCTGGCTTAGACCTGCGTGGGTTCAGTTACTGAAGGAGCCCGTGGAGAACCCTCAGGGGTTCTGAGCTGGTTCTTTCCAGTCGATCTCCTGCTGAGAATTTGCATCTCATCTGCGACAGACATACTCCATCACAACCTATAGTTTAACACGATTCCCAGGTGGTTTTTAGGTATAAAGTATTTTCTAAATGCTTAGAAACTCTGAAGGTTCTCTTTAGAGAGAGGCTCCAGATAGTGAACCCAAAGTTTTCAGAATTGGGGCAGCTCCTTGGAAGTTTTGTGAAGAAGCAGGGACTGGCTGGTGACATTCAGATGGAGCACTTTTGTTGGGATGTTACTGGAGCTGGGATTCAGAATCAGCTTCATCTGATTATGCAGCCTGTTTGTTCCCTTCTCTCTGCCCAGTTCAGATTTAAGACCCTTCCTCAGGAAGGCGCCACTGATTCTGAAGTCTTGGCCAGGTCTTTCACACTTAGAGAATTCTTGTTTTTAGGTTTCCAGCCAGCAGCTTGGCGCCTTAGGGTCAGTCCAAGAAAGAAAAGGCAACAGGGGGGTTAGGGGGCAGCCCAGAGGGTGGTATGGTAGCCAAGGTTCCAGGTGTACTTGATTTTCTAGGATGCAGGCCCTGGGGATACTATGGCTGGGCCACCAGGCTGACGAGCTTCTTGCCCAGGGCAGAGGGCACTGGCCTGTGAGCCCAGGCGTCCTGGCTCTGCCTAACTGCATTATTTACAATGCCAGGGACACTGGTACCAAGCTGATTTCACCTCTCCAAAAGTTTGCATCCTAGTGCAAAAATCTAGAAGGAAATAAAATGCCCCAAACTCTCACCACAGGGCATTTGTCTTTCTAGTTCTGTTTTCAGAATTATTTTTCAGATAGGCTCTACATTACTTTTTTTTTCATTTTCCTAAATGAAAAGATTCTCTCCTCTCTTTCTCTGCTCCCCCTTCCTCCTTCCTTCTCTCTCCCCCTCTCCATCCCTGCCCCCCCTTTCCAGTACAAAGAATGGTGTATGTTCACTACGAAGAGGCAAACACGCAAAACCCCTTCGTCCAATCTCGACTTAAAAAAAAAAAGGAAATTATCACAATGTGATTGCTTCCAAATCTTTTCTAAACACTATCACTCATTCCTTGCCATCAAGTCAGAACCAACTCATAGCTGATTTTCCAACGTGTTTTCAGAGTCAGTAAATTACACAGGAGGAGACTGCCCATTTTTCTTCTGCAGAGCAGCAGGTGGATTTGAACTGCATACCTTTGGGTTGACAGTGCAACTCCTTACTCACTAGGAGCTCCCACTTATAGCTCATCCATATAGAAAATGTTTTTCACTTGCTGGTAACTTGCTCCCCAATTTTTCCAGTTTGGCACCTCTTGGAAATCTTTCACAAGAGCTATTCGTGTCTTGTACTTCAAGCTCCGCGCTGCGTTCTAATCGGTATCGTGCTCATTTTCCTCTGTCCTGCTCTCAAACTCCCAGCCTACAAATGCCTTTCGCTCTTGTCATACTTAAGAGACTCACCAGGAGGCGGAATCCACAGAGCTTTTTAATTTAAAAAAAAAAACAAAACACTCCTTTACTCTCTCTCCATGTGTGTGCGCATTCACACATACGTAAAGGTCCAAAAACCTGAAACCCAGTGCCAGTCCAAAAGGAACCAACTCATAGCCGACCCTCCAGTGGGCTTTCAGAGACACACGGTCATGGAGCAGAAGGTGAATTTGAACTGCCTGCCTTTGGCTTGACAGTGCACCACCTTATCCACTAGGCCACCACAGCTCCCTTACATAAGGGTTGTTGTGTACGTGGAGCCAGACCCATAACTGACCCTCCAGCAGGTTTTCAGAGGCAGCACATCACATGGGAGGAAACTGCCCAGCCTTCTCCCGCGGAGTGGCGAGCTGGTGGATGTGGATTGGAACCACGTACCTTTGTGTTGGTAGCCTAATTTCTTACCACTAAGCCACCAGAGCTCCCTGATACAAAGGTAGACAACCTAGAAAGGAAATGTAGGCTGGAAAAAGAGGACAGAAGAAAGGAACAAGAAAGGAAAAGAAACTAAGAGGGGCCCGAGAGGAGAAGGCACTAAAAAGATGCAAAGAGGGGCGGAACGTAAAATAGAAGAGAGGAGCAAGAAGTGTGCGGCAGGCAGGCCAGGAGCTGCGCCCCCCAAGCTGCGAAGGCGGGCCGGGCCCCACCGCCCCACTTACCCGACCTGAGCAGCACCGCCCGGTAGAGCCCGGTGGGCTCCGTGGGCCCCCGGCCCCGCTCGCTCAGCCTCTGCGCCATGCGTCCCGCGCGCGCTGCACAGCCAGCACCCGAGGAGCAGCGCGCCTGAACCTTGTAGCCTGAGCTCCAGCGCCTTCACGGCCCAAATCCCGCCGCGGATCCTGTTACCAAGGCCGGAGGGGCGGGCGCCAAGTCCGCGGGAGCCGGAGGAGGGAGGAGATAGGGGCAAGGGCAGGTATCCCCGCCCAGGAGGAGGGCATGACTTAGCCAAGTGTCTGATAAGAGAACTAACCCCGCGGTGCCGAGACAAGACTAAGACCCTCGTGTCCTGATGCGTCACCTCAGTGTCCCACCTCTTCTCCATTTCTCAGGGCCCTGATCTCTCCTCAAAGCAGGGGTGGGGTTCTGTGCCACACATGTTGTCACACCCCAGCACCATCGCGGCTTACTAGCTGTGGGCCCAGTGATTTAGTTAGCTAATTTTGCAGAGATGGATTGACGCAGTGACTACAAGGGGCTCAGCATGGCTGAATGGCGGACCTGGTGCCAGAGAGGGTAAAGTTCAGAGCCATTGTTCACAGGGTCGCTGTGACCTAACCACCACCACCACCACCACCTCCTTGCTAAATCCCAGTTTCCTCACGTGTAAAATGAGAATAACCCCTGCAGAGTTGTGCCAGAGCCCCTAGAGAATTGTGTGGCTACCCAAAGACCGACCAAGCGTGTCCAGCAGTTCAAATCCACCACCTAGCTACTCCTCAGGGACAAAGCTGGACAGTCTCATCAAGTTACAATTTATAGCCTTGGACACTTGGGTGAAAGGTCTCAGTGAGTCAGAACTGACTCAATGAAAGTGAGTTTGAGTACTTATCAATCACTAAGGATTCTGCTGAGGGAAGTATTTAGGGGTGGAAGCCTGTGGTAGCTCCAACACAGACTCTCTTTTTGGGTTGAGTTTCTTCAACAGCCAGTGTAAGAGCCTTCAAGTAAGAGCCTGAAGGCAGGAGGCACAAGTCCCAAGACTCAAGACTCCGAGCATCTACTTTGGGCCTGGCACGACTACATTCCTCATGAAACAAATGCTAATGCTTATTCTACACTTCTTGTCATATTTCCATTAATCTTCAGAGTCCTAAGAAGTAGAGTCTAAATTAGCACTACAAAAAGTTCTGAGAGGTTAAGACACTCGTCTGAGGCCACACAGTGTGGACAGTACATGGTCTGACCTCAGGCACTCTAGACTCACTTTGTTGTAGTTTTTGCTCCTCTGTTTACAGCAGTCTTGAAGGGGCAGCTATTGTCTCCAGTTAAGAATTTGTAACCGAGGCCATAGAGGTTGAGAGAGTTGGGGAGTCTTCTGATACTCATATACCTATTTGGAAGAGGTAAGACTCAGTCCAATTTTCCTCCCACAAGTGATCGGACCCTCAGAGAGCTGTCCAGGATCTTGCGTGGCTTCAGTCTAAGGTAGTGCCTCATGGGTCAGTGAACATAGTTGTTGTTAGTTGCTACTGAGTTAAATATGACTCATAGTGACTCTATGAACAACAGAGCTGACCCCTGGTCTACCTTGTGCCATCCTCACTGTCTCTGAGACGCTTGAGCCCATTGCTGCAGTCAGTCATTGTGTCAATCTGTCCCGTTGAAGATCTTTCTTTCTCTGGCCCTCCACCTTTCCAAACATGAGGTCCCTCTCCAAGGACAAGCCCCTTTTGCCTCAGTGTCCTCTCCAGCTTCAGTGCCTCCTTGACTATCAACCATTGGCCATTGGCCATTCATTGCACAGGCCCAGCTTCTGCTCCAGATCAGAGATCTCTGTCCTCTGATCCTCCAACATCACTCAGGATCATGAGGACCCAGCTGCCACTTCGATCATCAGTGGCCTTAATGATTGGCTGGACTGATCACATCTCTCTCCAACATCCAGACATCATGAGTGCTACCTATGATGTCAGACATTGCCACCCCCTCCCTCAAGTCCATTCTGCAGAGGATGCTCCTCCAGCCGGTTTAGAGGTCATCTCATTTAACCCTTTCTGCTTGAACAAAGTGCAGCTTGTGCCCTTTCTTGGAGACAGAGACAATAGGGCTCAAATGACTTGCCTACGATCACATAACTCGTTAGTAGTGGGGCTGGAATTTGAACTGAGATAGAGCCAAGACTTTTGCTGAGGGTGAAAACCAAGCCACCTGTTTAGTAAAATGGGATTCAGGAAAGTAGTGGCTGAGGATTGTGCTTCTGGGAACGTGCTCACAGGCCTGCCCTGGCTGCATCCGAGGAGGGCTGAGGTGGGGCTTACTTACCTGAGCCATCTAGTCTCTGCTTCTGAGTTTCACTATGAAATCTGGCCTGGGGTGAGTATTCTTTCTGTGAACAGAAAGAAAGTAGTGGGTGGTAAGGACCCTCTGTTCCTTTGCAGGGAGGAGGGTGACAAGAAAGCCAGAGTGACCCTGAGTCTTTGGCTTTGGAAGGAACTTTTCAAGGGCAAAATCCCCTCTAGATACATGAATTGCTCTTGTCCTTGGATGGGGGAAGGGTGCGTGTCCTGGACAGGGCACTTACAAGTCCAATGACCTTTTTTTACTTGCACAATGGACTTTATGTTTTAAGATCAGTTTTAGAGTTCTGGAAAACGTGGGAGAAAGCACAGAGAGTATCAACACAGCCTACATTCACTGATTATGAACATCTTACAACCCTTTGGTACATTGGTTGGTTACAATTATGCCTCAACATTGACGATACATTGGTACATTGTTGTTGTTTTGTACCATCAAGTCCTGGTTTTTAGAGGCAGTTAATTTCACAGGAGGCATTGCTCATCTTTCTAGTATAGAAAAGCTGGTGGATTTGAACTGTGTGTCTTCAGGATTTGCAGCGCAGCTTCTTGCCACTAGGCCACCCATACTTTATTTGGATTCCCTTATTTTTTACGTAATGTCCCTTTCCTGTTCCCAAATCTCACCCAGAAGAGCCCATCGCATGTGGTTGTCATGTCTCTTTAGACTCTTCTCAGATGTGACAGTCCCTTAGACATTGCTTTTGATGACTATGTGCACGTGGAAGGGATCTCTGGTGGTATAGTCCATGGCAGGTGACTCTGCTAATCCCGAGCTGCACATCTGTGGTTTGAATTCACCAGTCTTTCTGCAGGAGAAAGATGGGCAGTCTCCTTAAGTTTTGATTTACGGCCTCAGAAACTCATCCAGTAGGTGTGAGTCAGAACGGACTCAGCTTCAGCGAGTTTCAGTGTTGAATTCACACGTATTGAGGAGTACTGAAATGGATACTCTTATCTGGTTCCTGTTACCTTGACCACCTTCTCACCCCTCCTCACAAACTCCTTCATACGCCTCTAGGGCCAGTTCAGAAAGCCTCAGGGCTTGACTCCCAGGATTGCTGTTGTTGAGTACTATGGAATCAGAACTCACCCATACAGGGCATTATGCTAAGTGAACTAACTCAGTCCCATAAGGACAAATACAGTATAAGACCATTATTGTAGAACTTGTATGAAGATCTAAGAACGGGGAGGGTGGGAGCAGAGGGGTGAAGATGGGTGGAGGAAGTGGGAGTTATTAATCATAGGGTCACACAATTTGATGGGGTGAGGGAGGGGTTGGTAAAGGAAATAGAGAAGATCTGGTGTGAAAAACAATGTATACGGACTTTGTAAGTAGACCAGTGTAAAAGAAAAATTTTATTTAAAAACTAACAAAAAGAGCTCCCCCATAGCTGACCCTCCAGAGGGTTTTCAGAAGCAATAAATCGCTCTAGAAGAGGTGGGGCACCTGGTGGATTTGAACTGCATGCCTTTGTGTTGGCAGGGCAACTCCTTACCACTAAGCCACCAGAGTTCCCTTAGGTTCCTTAGGGTTAGTACTTGGTTATCTCTCCTTGCTATACTCTCATGGCTTCAAAAAACAGCTGCAAACCTGTGGTTCTCAAGTGTATATTTCTATTCCAGACTTCTGCACTGAGCTTCAACCTTGACCAATGTGCAACATCACTGTTGTTTGATGTTAAGTGCCATCGAGTCGCAGGTGACTCATAGCAACCTTATGAAGGAGAGTCCTTGACGCTTGGGTGCCTTTCTTCCTCTTTCCAGGTTCATAGGGTTTCCAGAGGCAAGCTATTATGGAAGTGGATGCCACTCCTCCTTCCAAGGCAACATCACTAGAGAGTCTAATTATTGGTGTGAGTTACTTGGAGTTGATTCTAACTCTTGCTGGGCCGTGTGCTGCAGGATAGGTGGCACAGGGTTTACTTGACTGGAATCCCAACCAATACAGATCTCTAGACCTTTTATTCCATGGTACCCCTAGGTGTTTCTGAACTGCTGAACTTTAGGTGAATAGTGGAGTGCAAACCATTTATGCCACCCAAAGACTGTGAAAGTCTAATGTTGTTGTTGTGTACCCTAGAGTCGGAACCGACCCATAGCTGATCCTCCAGCGGGTTTTTCAGAGGCTGTTAATCGTGTGGGAGAAGACTGCTCATCCTTCCACGGAGCAGCTGGTAACAGTGTGCCTTTGGGATTGCAGCACAGCTTCTTGCCATTAGGTTTCCAGAGCTCCCTAAAAGTCTAATAGGTACATCAAATTAATCGTGGCTCAGACAGAATTCTCCAACAGCCCAGCCCCTGCCCCACCCCGCCCCTGCCCCCAAAAGCATGATGGAAATGGGAGGGACAGAGGAGGGGAGGGGGACCCTGAAGGAGCTGGGCTGGCACAATGACAATGCGCTTACGCACAGCAGAGATTGTGAGGATGATACAAGACTGGGTAGGGTTTCACCCTGTTACACATCGGGTCACTGAGTGAGACCTAACAACACCAGCAAATGGCCTGCTTTTTGCTGCTGTCCACTAGTGGTTCCACTCGGTCCCTGTTGTCAGACAGGAAGCTGGGCTAGCATCTCTCATCCCTCACAGACTCAGCTCACAAGGCGTGGTGAGTCCTTGTCCTACAGAGCTGTCCAGTCTGCCCCCTTGTCTCCATGCCACCACCCCATTGTAGGCAATGCCGTGGCTACATAGCTCGGTGACGGCCACAGCCTG